AACTATAAAGTGACCTAACATGAGAATCGTGACAATCACTGCCACAATGAAAGTGGTGAATGATGTGGCGAGTATTTTAGATAATAAGCAGAGTTGTGCAGCTCTATTTATTTACCTGTCCAAAGCGTTTGATACCGTCGATCATCGCATCTTAAAGCAGAGGCTACTCAGTATTGGCATATCCAGCCATGCAGTGGGGTGGTTTGTGAACTACCTCTATGAAAGGTCCCAATGTTTTCATTTTGATGGGCTGTCTTCTGAGTGATTAAACATTACTAATGGTGTTCCTCAAGGTTCTGTTTTAGGTCCACTTTTATTCTCCATCTACATCAATAGTTTAGGTGAAAATGTCGATGGAGCAACCTTACATTTTTATGCGGACGATACCGTTATGTACTGTGCAGGTCCCTCCTTTTAGGAGGCTGTTGTTGAATTGCAAGCTGTTTTGAACATTATTCAGACTCAGCTCTCTGAACTAAGGCTTATTTCAAATGTTGATAAAACCAAGGTAATGCTCTTTTCAAAAGCTAAAAAGACACCAGAGCCTGTTGTAGATATTGCAACTACGCAAGGAATAAAACTTGAAGGGGTTACCTGTTACAAATACCTTGGTATCTGGCTTGATGATTGTCTCACTTTTAAACGTCATGTCAATAACCTGCTTAAAAAACTGAGGGTTAGGATAGGTTTCTTCTACAGGAACAAGTCCTGTTTCCCGCTTGAGGCCAGGAAAAGGCTAGTCACTGTGACCTTTTTACCTGTACTGGACTATGGTGATCTTTATATGAATGCACCTGCCAATTACCTGATCAAGTTAGATGCTGCGTATCACAGTGCTCTGAGATTTGTGACAAACTGTAAAGCATTAACCCATCACTGTACCCTGTATGCAAGGGCAGGTTTGCTTTCACTAACTGTACGGAGGCTCAGTCACTGGTACATTTTTATATACAAAGCCACGTTAGGGAAACTTCCATCCTACATCTGCTCCCTGATCTCACGGCGAATTGTAAGTGGCTACTGCCTGAGGTCGAATGCTGTGGTCTTATTAAATGTGCCAAATGCTAGGACTGTCTTAGGGAAGATAGCTTTTAGATGCGCAGCTCCGCTAACTTGGAACAGTCTGCAAAAGGAATGGAAGCTGAGCAATTTGGTTCCACTAAATGTTTTTAAAGCAAGGATAGATGCTATCCAATCGGAAACTGTTGGAACCGGTAAATGTCACTAGCTATGTAAACTTTAGTCGCTGTAAATATGCTGTATGATGTCCTTTTTGTTTTTCTGTTATGTTTATATGTATTCATGTGGAACCTACTTGCAGCAGGTCACCCTTGAAAAAGAGATCAATGATCTCAATGGGATTCACCTGCATAAATAAAGGTTTGAAATTAAATGAAAAAATAACACCTTAGGATAGTTTCTGTTGAGAGGATGTGCTGGGCTCCTTGATCACAGAAAGGTAATTGCTAAATGACAGTTCTTTTACTGACTGGGAGTCATGATAAATGTTCACCTTCATGTACTGTATATTGTCATGAATGTTTTTCAACTTAAAGGTGGGGTAGGTCATTTTGGAGAAACCAGCTCGAGTAAACTAGAATTTAAAAAGTACACAACCGGAAAAAATCTGCCCCTTCCTTCAGATTTCCTTACAGAGCCCCTCCTCCAACACACACAAACGTGCACATGACCAATGAGGGCACAAGATAAGTTTGAAGGATCCCTGAAGGAGAGTAGCTTGTGGGTGCGTCATCCTTCATTCTGGGAACAACTCATATTAACCGTACAGAGGATGTGTTACATCACTGGGGATTACACAGCCTTTCCTCACCATTTAATACAGACATCCAATAATAATGGTGATACCCTGACTTTTCCTGTCCTGCCACCATAAGGTCAAAACGTTTACTTATCCAGTGAAATATCTCAACATGTAGGCCTCCTTAATGGATGAGCTAAACTTTTCGGTACAGACATTAATGATCTCCAGGTTATAAATCCCAATGACTTTAGGTGTCGTCTGACTTTACTGAGGACATTCGCAGACATTCAAGGACATTCACTTCATCCTCAGCTATACTTCATGTTTACTGCTTATTAGCAACTGTTAGCACATTTAAGCGCTGAACATGGATAATACCATGTAAACATTTCCTGCTAAATGTATGTTAGTGTTATCATTGCAAATCCCAGTTGACTCTTATTTATTGTATACCTGTTAGCATTGATTGATATTGTCCTGTTTTCTTGTGAAGATGTTTGTAATTGTATAAAGGGACGTTGCAAACAAGATCGGCTTAGTATGTGTCATTGTTCCATGCCATACTGTATACTTGTCCATGTGAACAAGAAACAATAACATCAATTCATCTTGCACTAGTTCGACATAGAAGAAACAATAATAATAAAAAAAAGCATTATTCCAGTTAGCTGTCAAACAGCAGCTTATTTAAGTCTGTTGATTGTTGTTTTTGCTGCTTATTTCTCTGTAACAAGTCCTCCAGACACAATCTCATCTCCCGCCCTCATTCAGCTTGTCGGCTCATTCCATTAGCGTTATGAAGACTGGGCTCACTGTGCGTCGCTCATTTCATTTCCTTTTCATCAGCAACCTGGCGAGGTTTGAGTTCCCCAGTGAACGATTAAATAATGTGTCTTTTGAAGATGAGTAGTGCTCTGCATTGTGTTACAGATCTTTATCGGTGGTTCTGATGGTTCCGGAGAGAGACAGACAGACTTTGGATGTTAGAGGATGATAAATGTTGTGAGTCTGGAAAACTGTCTGCTTCACTTCTTCTGTTGCTGCCCGAGCCAATTTCCTTCAACTCACTGAATCTTTGAAAAGAAGCGCACAATATACGTCTTATCTTTAAGTCAAAGTAATATTAGAGAGCCAGCAGCTACAGAAGGCCTCTGAGCTCTGGAAAAGTACTTACATATATACAGGAGGCTTTAATATTTGATATCACAGTTAAGAATAGAGGAGGGTAACCTTGTTATACAGAGCTGATGATTTACTTAGGCTTTATAGGCTTTTCATACTGTTTCACTCACTAGCCTATATGTTCACAAATAGAGTTGGCCTACATTGACTGCCAGTCAAGTGTGCCATCACCATGGAGCTGCTGTCACATCAATGAGGTCATGTCTCCATTTATCCTCTCAGACTCATACAGTTTGAAGGAAAAATACACGTTTACAGTATATTAATCTTTACTGTAAATCAATCAATCCACTAACATACACCAATGTAACCCCTGACCCACGAAAAAAGTGAATTCATGTACAGAGAAACACCAATATTGATTTGCCAACGTATTCTGGTACCAAGTGGCTGCGACGAAATGAATCACATTCCTGAACAGATTCAATTATTGATTGATCTAATGATCAGTTGGTCCAGGCATGGTGATGGAGCTTCCAACACCAGCCCAGCCACACAGTGTGCCCTGGAGACATGGAGATAAGACCAAAGAGGAAGAAAGGGGGAGAGGACGGCTGGCTTTGGAAAGTGGGACAGAGGAGCAGTCAGCGGGGCAGATCGAGGCTAATGCAGCCAGGCATCCAGGCTTTCCTGATGTGCGAGTTCTGCCCGTTGTGTTTCTCCTCGAGCAGACTGACCTCTGAGCAGCAACTCCCATCACATGTTGTAGGCTAACATACATCCCTGAGTCATAGCCCAGTGCCTCCAGCCGTCTAAACACTCTGCACACAAGAGTGGGAGCAAAACACTGAGCATCCACAGCTACTTCACATGGGCTGCTTATCAGTGACAAAATGGCACTCATTCATTCATTAAGTGTGTGTGTGTGTGTGTGTGTGTGTGTGTGTGTGTGTGTGTGTGTGTGTGTGTGTGTGTGTGTGTGTGTGTGTGTGTGTGTGTGTGTGTGTGTGTGTGTGTGTGTGTGTGTGTGTGTGTGTGTGTTTGTGTGTGTGTGTGTGTGTGTGTGTGTGTGTGTGGGTGTGTGTGTGTGTCGCGTAACGTACGTACGTCGTCGTGTGTGTGTGTGTGTGTGTGTGTGTGTGTGTGTGTGTGTGTGTGTGTGTGTGTGTGTGTGTGTGTGTGTGTGTAACGAGCCATTTTGTGTGTGTGCGCGAGCGAGAGAGAGAGAGCGCACCGGTACTGGAGATCGTTGTTGTTAGCTTCTGGTGCTAGCGAGCTACGCTAAGGGATATAAGGAGTTTTTTCAACAACAAAGTGGAGGAGAGTCCTCTCCTGTCAGACTGAGGGACTCAGTGAGCTAAAGGACTCTCAGTGTTATCTCAGTGGGTCTCAAACCTTTTGGTCACCATTAATGTAAACAATTATTTCCGAGGCACACGTTTATATGATCATTATAGTTATAAAAAAATAAGAGAATAAATTAAAAACAGGTTTGAAATACTATATGACAGTAAAAAAAGAATAAAGGTTAAAAGGAGTGATTTGTAAAATATCCATAAAGAAAAAGTCAATCTGTTTCCAGTTCTGTTTCAAATGGGTGTTGAGAGAGGTATCCATAGATCTCTTCATGTTGCTCTCAAAGTGCACCAGATTGATGCTTTTAACTTCAATATTTAAAAATAAATCTTCCCGGGGGAGCTTGCCCCGGACTCCGCTAAGTGAGGTCGACACACCACCTATAAAAATAGCACTTACCCCTGCTTACACCTATATGCCATGAGCTGATTATCGAGCCTTCATTGTAACAGTCGCGGGTACACTGTGTGTGTGCGTGGGGATTGTTGCAGTAGAAAGTTCCACTGTAGCGACCGGTACATTAATGGGAAACCCTAAATGTTTGAGCACCCTCTATGAAACGTCAAGCTACCCCACAGCACCCCCAAAATAAATCTCTGGCGCCGCCACTGAGCCTGACTATTTGTGTTGGGGGGGCCTGACTTTTTTTTTTCTCCAAAGGGGGGGCCTTTCCAATGGATACCAACCGTTATACCAGACAATAACTGAGATGTGCAGCCCCTTTGTATTCCAACATCGTAGAATACCACCACCTTGGCGTCTACTGAGACACAAAGCCCCTTTATGTGTGTGTATAAAGCACCAGAAAAATGGCACTGCTGTGTTTTTGTTTGCTTCAATGTCACACTGTCCGTCTCTCTGTGTGAAGAGCAGACATACAAACAAACAAACGTGTGCATTTCTGCTACGTTTACTCAACATTTGTCCATTTCCAGCAGAGTTTTTGAAGTTTAATTTGTGCTTTTATGACATCATATCTGTGAAAGCATAAGAAAATAAAGTAGATTTACTGTGGTTCACTGCGTTGCCTTTGCTAAGGACTCTAACCCTCACCCTTTCCCAGCCTTACAGCAACCGACAATGTTAACTACTATGCCTTTAACAGTGAGTGGTTTGTGTAAAATGCATATTCATGACTACATCACTGAGGGAAAGGGGTGTGTGCTGAACTGAATGCTGATTCAAGGAAACATTTTAAGTATAAGCCTCAGTGCTACTCGTGCTAAAGTTCATCTGAAGTCCTGCAGGACAAAGAAACACACTAAAAACAAACACAGCTGAGTCCTCCAGTGTATTACAGGATTATCGCTCCGGGCAAAGAGTCGACAGATTGTGTGTGGATTTCACATATGGAGCAGGGAAAACGTGAGTGACAACAAGCACCTCTAAATATACACGACTGTGATAGAAGTTATCACACGGACACTTTAAACAACATACTTTTCAAACGGTCCCACTTATGGCGCAGATAATGTATTCCACCAAAGTGAAGCAGCCCGGCTCATCAGTTCAGGCGTGACTTTAATGTATAATCTCACTTTCTTCATTTTCTGTTCAGACGAGAGTTGAGAGTCTCTGGCTTCAAAGCGCTCGTCCTTCAGGGATAGGTTACTGTTTCACTTTGCTTTGGTTTCCATGTCACACTCCCCCCGGCGAGCCTGGAGAAAACGAGCTGCCGTCTCGCCTGTTTAACAGAGTTAAATCATGTTAAATCAAACCACTCTTGGGTGTTTTGACATTCCCGTAATCAACCAATTCAACCTCTCTATTTGTGGCCCACTGTACAATCACAATCATGTTATGTTGCTCTACTGTATGGCACACTTTCCCCGGACCCCCACTGGGAGACCCATGGGCATTTCATCCTCGTAGTTAAAGAGCCTGGATCCAGGTTGGTAAAACAAATGCATTCAGGCGAACACTTAACAAATCTCCTTAAAAATACCTTTTTATTTGTATTTGCAAAAGACAACATACAGCACGAAACGTTCAAGGAGCAGGCTTATTATTATTTTTAGCAGACATTGGATTTTGCAGGTTCAAATAAGGAAAACGTCAGCGGTGTTAAATCATTTCAGCTATTGACAATGTGAGCAACTTCAAAAAGGGGCAAAATTATTTTTTTTAATTTATACTGAGATCTGATACAAGAGCCGTAAGAATGTAGCCCTACCTTTCAAATTAAAAAGCTAAACAAACAAAAGTTTTTAGGTATCAATTAAGCATCAATTTGCTCAATCAATGACAGAGCATTAGTACAAAAACATGAATTACACCTTTTATTTTTAGTATCGATGATATAAGCTCAGTTGACGTTTTTTCAAAGCGCTCAGCAGCCTGGCCTCCAGAGATAGGTTATACTGTTTCACTTTGGTTTCCATGTCACACTCCCCCCGGCGAGCCTGGAGAAAACGTGCTGCCGTCGCGCCTCTTTAAGCGTGTTGAATCATACCACTCTAGGGTGTTTTGACATTCCCGTAATTAACCAATTCAACCTCTCCATTTGCGGCCCACCGTACAATCACAATCATGTTATGTTGCTCTACTGTATGGCACACTTTCCCCGGACCCCAACTGGGAGACGTATGGGCATTTCTTTCATACCACACATCCAGATTGCTTAATATCTGGCGAGTCGAGTCATGTGACCAGGAAAGCTTGTGTGGAGAAAAACTGCATTATACAGCAGATGTGTGTTTGAACCAAGGAACTGTATTTCAAATATTTGCTTGGCATGTAAATTAAGCGTCTCTTATATAATTTCCCCAGAATGTAAAGGATTATTTATAAATATAGATTCTGAAAAAAATACCAACAAACTAATGGAATAGCATTTTTATATGGATTTAGTTTTGCCACAGATGTGTGTAATGTGGTGCAGATTCAAGACCCATATCTACGGTGGCAGACAGCTGAGATGATGCATTCAAGGTCAACTAAATGACTGCGGAATCTGCGGCGTTCATGTACGGTGACCGAAAAGTGCAACAATAGAACAAAACATGCAAACTAGCGGTAGCTTAAAAAAACGAGGCAAATATAAGAAAACGTGATTAAGGAACATCTTCACCAACTTGACAACAACACAGCACTTGTCGACCTTTGTGGATTATAAAGTGACTTTCGAAGAGTTAGTCTTTCATAATTGTAACGGCTAGTCCACACAGCAGCTTTGGAAAAAGCTTGCCGGCGGGCGTGTCTGAAGCTCGACTAACAACCAATCACATGTAATCTCCCGCCCCTGACACACAAGCAGCGGTTTAGATTGGCTAGAGTTTGTACTGGCATATGATTATACCTTTATTTTCGTATCATTTATTTTGTACATACTTCTGATAATTGTTTATATAACTGACTGTTTTGCACTCTGGTTAGACCCTCCTTAATTTCGTTACACTGTGCTTGCATTTTTGTAATGACAATCAAGTAATCTAATCTAATCTAATTTGATTGGCTGGCGCTTCCACCGAAAGCTTCAGAAGTTTCAAAAGTTGAAAATTGCTCAACTTTTTCGGCCTGAAATGCCAGGAAAGCTCCGCTCTGCTTCCCACAATGCAGTTCGGCGAAAAGTGACGTCACCCCATTCAAAGTGAATGGGCAGAAACGTTGGAAGAAGCATCCAACGCCGCTGTGTGGACGGTCCGTAAGGGTTTTGTCTGTACATTTGAAATGACTAGGTTAGCTATGTTAGCTTACAATAGATCTGCAATAATATCGGAAGGAACCAAGCGATCACATTGTTAAAATAAGCCAATACAACTAACATTCTAGGTAAGTTTCCATAACAACAGTGACAGTTGGCCAATTTAATAAAGTGTTTTTGGTCATTGTTACGCGTTTGCACGTGTCGGCCTCCGTAGTTTCAGGATCCATAACTTTCATTTTGTTAACCTTGAGAGCATCATCATAAAATATGTTTACCATATTGAAGTTTCTAATGCATGACTTGGAAACAATTCAATATGAGATAATTCATCGGATGAATTAACCTTCGTTAAACTTAGTATTGACAGTGTATCATAAGGGAGATGTGAATGATGACTAAGCGAATAAGGTCCCTTTGTTGACCCAGCAAAATAACTTAATGATCGGAAAATCTTTCAAAGTGTCACAGGAGTATTTTATGCTCCATGATTGAAAATGGCAGAAGCTGGAAACACTGTCATCTACCTGTCAGTCAACAAATAAGTGGCGGTGTTAAGGGAGCGATTTGAGGGATTCTGAGGTGAGGAAATCTTTAAAACAAAGCAGCGTTGTGGCTCATCAAAAAAAAAGTCACTATATAAAGAAAGTTGCTGACATTATAAATAGGGCTGAAAATAACCATTGTTTTATTTAAAGATCTACTTTCAATAGTGGGCGATATTCACCTCCCTCTGTCTCACCTCTTATATAAGGACTGTTTTATTGATGATGTTTTTAATGATTTAGATGTAGCTTTTATTATCAAGTGCAATAGATCACATAGAGAGGTGAAGTCCCACCCATCTACTTCCGACCCATGGGACCTTATTTCGGAAAAATTATGTATTGAAGTCAATGGAGAGAGAAAGATTATCTTTCGATCCCGTTTTAATTGTGCCACGAATTACACATAGATGTTTGTCAATCTTAAAAAATAATTTCCATGTCAAAAAAGTCACAGTTTGTCGTAAAACTGTTGAAATATAAGACTATGAAAAATACGCAACTAGAAAGACTACAAATCCCAGAGTCCCGGTCCCGCATGCTGGCTCTAACGAACCGACTAACTCCCCTTGTGTGTATGTACAGCTCTCAACATGCCCAGACTTGGAGTGATTTTCACCTCTTTTAATACTTTCCGCCTCATTCTGAAAGAAAGAAATGAAATTTGCCAACGTGACGGCCGTCTAGGTGTGTGGTGCGAGACGGGAGATGTAGTTCATTGAGCGGTTTCACACAAAAAAAAGTGNAAGTAAAAAGCTGTCAGATAAATGTAGTGGAGTAAAATGTACAATATTGGCTTCAAACATGAAGTGGAGTAGAAGTCTAAAGTATATGGAAATTCTCAGGTAAAGTACAAGTACTTGAGTAAATGTACTTTGTTATATTCCAACACTGACTGCATGTGATGTGGAAGGACCAAAGGTTGAAGAAAAATACATTCAATTCTTTTTTGGTAGCTTGTGAATTTCACCAAGGGATCAAGGCAAGTTCATTTATAGAGCACCTTTCAACACAAGTTCATTCATTATCATCGCACTTTCAACTGCTCTGCACTTGTTATTGATGAAACATCAAGGGCTTTATCCCAATAAATAACATGTCTATATATACATTATTAAATGGCATTTATGTAATAATAAGTAAGCATACTGGAAATCAAGCTGGTGTTGAGGTAAAAACAAAAAGCCCCGAAAAAAATAAAAATAAAATACAAATACATTATTAGTTATTAAATGATATCTAGTACATAAGTAGAGAAAACAATCACTGCCATAAACCAATATCAACTGCTAATTTAAAGTGTGTGCATCTGTGTATTAAGAAACTAAAATACAACAGTATATTGACCTTTACTAAAAGCATCAGCAAACACTAATACATCCATCTGTTGATGACAATAATTGAAAGACAACAAGTGATGCTCACAGTATAACACAAATAATGTTTAATTATATACTTATCTAAGGTAGAAAACATAAAAACAGAGGGAAAGGCTCCGTACCTTAATTGAAATATGATCCAACAGTGTCTTATTAGACTTCTTACAAAAGTATTCGAATACGTTTCTGTTAAACTGGCATCAGCTGCATTATGTCGTTGCTTCTGCAATTTCTTTTGTACCCTTTTTAAAAAAACGTTCTCTTCTATCTTGCTGTGTCTCTTCTCCCTCAGGGTCATGAGAGCATGTTCCCCTCCTCTGTGCGGTCGGCCCTGCTGCAGGTTGTGTTCGATCGAGCGAACCTCTCCGACCCCTCTGTGGGAGACTCAGAGGTGATGCTGTGGCTGCACGACAGACTGCGCCCCCTGCTGGTCGAGCTGTTGCCGCGACACGTAGCGCTGTTCTTCAGGATACTGGAGGGAAGAAACTGCAGCATCGAGGAGCAGGGGTAGGTTTGGACCACACCGGGGATTTGATTTAACTGGAATCAAGATCATTTTTAAATCAGTAATGTCAAAATGTAAATTGTCTTTATTTGATTTTTTGTTTACAACTGTCAGTGAATTAAATCAAACAGAAAATCACTGATTGCCTTTTTTTTTTGCTCACTTCATTTCAGAGTGACAGACCTGAATTCAACGATCTCTTCTCTCAGTGAAGAAACACAGGCAGAAATCTACAGCCACATTGTTCAGTCCCTCAAAGGTAAACAACCCACAATGAAAATACACTTTATGAAACCTATTAAAAAAAACGTTCGGAAAAATATGAAAAATTATAGATTTCTTTGTATATTTTTGTACATCCGTTGTTCATTAACCCTTCTTTATTCAACACTTTTGAAGATCATTTACAGCAAGCAAATGTATGGCCCATAAGTCCATCACCTTTGTTTTACTATTTTTTAAACCTTGAAAGACCGACAGCCGAACGTTCTCTCTCTCCTTCCTCCAGGACCGATACCTCTCAAATGCTACGGAGAAAACTACAACCAAAGTTTCTACGGTTTCCTGCAGCGCTCATTCATGAGTTTCCAGTTCCCCAACCTCACCGCCTTCCTGTCCCTCATGCCTCACAACAGGATGCATCAGGTGTGTGTCCCAAACATTGTTCAAGTTAAAGTCTGTGTTGATCTGAGTCGATGACACCTTTTTAATGTTCCCTCCAGCTGGTGAACTCCATGCCTCCGTCACACCTTGGAGATTTCCTCCGTCGCCCCGATGTCGTCGACAACGATGCAGAGCTCTGTACGATATACGACAACTACGTGCAGACACCCATGTTCCTGGAGACTGTATGTACACACACACACACACACACACACACACACACACACACACACACACACACACACACACACACACACACACACACACACACACACACACACACACACATACCATGTATAGATCACTTCAGGGGACATTACATTGACTTACATGCATTTCCTGGAGACTTATCCTAACCTTAACCATAACCAACACATGCCTAACCCTTACCCTAAACCTAACCAACTCTTTACCCTAAAATTAATGATTCCCCTCATGGGGACCTTCATTCTGTCCCCATAAGGGAAGCCAGTCCCCACACGTGACTGTGTAAACAGAATTAGGTCCCCACAAGGATAGTAATGCTAGGCCATACAAACACACACACACACACACACACACACACACACACACACACACACACACACACACACACACACACACACACACACACACACACACACACACACACACACACACACACACACACACACACACACACACACAAGAAATGTTACCATAGTACTTGTACCATAGTACCATGGTATATTTGACAGATTGT